AAATGGGACCAGCTCATCTCGGCACTCTTTTAATTTTCTTCCGAATGGTTTTTATGCCATTACTTCCATTACTTTGTTTCACTATAGTGTACGGTATAGTTCTGAAGTACACCTCATTTGATCTTCAACTTAAGTGAAGGACGACATCATCGTGTAACATCAAGTGCATATTGGAGTTAATGATGCTGCCAATCAATGATGACCTCAATTTAAAAGTGAGGTTTGGAGGTCAATTAAGCCACGACTTTCAATGCTTTTCCCTCAGCAGCCCACTGCATCCTCACTGATTTATGCCCTGCCTGGCTCTTCAAGAATCTGTGACCATCAGTAATCAGAGAGACACAAACAGCAGTTCATCACATGTGTTCTGTAAATAAGGACATTTAACATCGAGTGAAATTCAATATTGTCTGTGCTCAAGCATGGAGGAACAACATCATTTTCCGCCTGAGCCAGATTAAGCCATTAACTGGCTGCGGCATGTGCTATTAGCACACCATAATGAGAATAATAAAATCATGGAAACATCAATCGGACCAAGACGAGACGCCAAGATGAATTATTGTGAAACAAAAGAAATGTCACGTTCATTTCAACAGTCCATGTTAGACCAGGAGCTATCATTACGCCGATCTCCCGTGGCCTCCTCTTGTTGTTAACAGTTTTTTTTGTTGTTGTTGTTGTTTTAATGTATTCCACCTCCTCACAAAAAAGACATCACGCCCCCGAGATGAACATCTGTCAGAAGTCTGAATCATACACATTGCTGAGCACATTTATTTGGAGGAGATTTCACCCCACGCACATAGCAGCCGAAGAGGTGCTTAACCAAAGATAGGTCCACGGTCTGATTATGTACATTTGTGTAAATGAATCCCACTGGAACATTTTAACTCAGCTTGAATCCTCGCTCCTGCCTGTAGTGCGTTGGTGTCTTCTGTGTCCGTGCAGCAATACTTCAGTGTGTGCTGTACACTTACAGACTAGCATGGTGTGGCGTCAAAGCAAGAGGTGTGTGAGCTGAATTAGATAATACCATACGGATCAATTTGTTCTGACGTTAAGATTACTAAGCAATCACGGCCGCACGAGAAATTAATCAGGCATCTTTTCTATATTCACCTCCACAGGAGAGAATTATTTTTATGGGAAATCTTTAAAGGTCAAAGAAACTATAGATCGAAATCCAAGTATGTCTTTGTCTTTAGAGTCTTTATTATGTCTCTTTAAGCAGTACACTCTCCCAAGTACCGTGCTGTTAGGGGGCCGGTCAGTACTTTATTCTCAAGGCAAGAGCCAGAGCATAAAGGATAAAAAGTCCACTTATACTTGTCAAGCTAATTGCTTTGAGCGCAACAAAATAAAGGTGAAGGTGAAGTGAATTGGTGTGTTATCATTTAATCAGCTCAGACCCTCTCTTATCTGATCCGTGGTGGCAGTATGCTAACAGTACCTACCAGGAAGTACTAACATGGAGCAACTATGTTTGATCCTGACAAAGTGAGATATGTTTGTAAGGTGTTCATTTTTAAATAAATGCTCGTGCTTTGTACTACACAGCATTAAGTATTCTACTGCATAATACCCATTTCAGCCAGTTCACTTCATTATGGCATTTCTTCCTGCATTGTGCTGCTGCTGGCTTTGAATGGAGCTGACCAGAGGCAATTTTTCACAAAATCATCAGGTATGATAAAAGCTAAGTAGTCCAGTTCTGCTGATCCATGGATCATTGCCATCCAGTTACAGTAATTTTCAATTCCACTAAACAAGAAGACAAGAGGGAAAAATGAGAATTAATTGCAGTGAGTACAGCTTTTTCAGGTAAGACCGAGAAGAAGAAAAAATCTCATTCTAATTTGCATGAGATTTTCATGTATTTTATCAGTGTATGCTGTCCAGCAGGACTGTAAAACGAGACAACATCCTTTTCATGCAGCTTGTTTTTTCTTTTACTGATGCAGGAAGCCTTAATTTGGCAAAAGATATTGCAACCTGTTAAAATTCCCTTCAATCGATGGAAGCCTGCCTTCTGTGCATTTACACACAGATGAAGTCCAAGCTGCCATTTTGGCAAACAGAGCGGTTTAGTTCGATCATCCATCATCTTTCTTATTCCTGGCCTTTTGGAAGTGGGGATCATATTATACTGTCTGCAAATTAAACAAAAGCCTGCTGCATTAAATGAGCCCACAAACTGCATTCAGGGCTTGTGAGAAGCTATCTTATTAAGTCCAAAGAGCCATGTGTTTTTAACAAAACCAGGATGAGGACACACTCTGAGCACAAAGGTTTGAGGTTTTTGGTCTAAATCATCAAAAAAAGATGCTTCTCAACCAACCAGCTTGAGAATATGATAAGGTTAAAACTAATTATTAGTGTTGATTAGATGTATGCGGCATTTGCCTTTATAAAACCCACTTTAATTATATGTGAGCAGGATCTCCTCACCTTATTAAGGTTTGCACATTCTGTTCAGGTACAGGGATCTCCGCTGGGTGAGATGGTGGGATATTCCGCGAAATATATTCTGAACTAACTCGCAGGGAATTAACTGTGGGTGGACAGCAACCACAGCCGCAGCTGTGTGAGCCGAAAAGTGAATGGCATCCAGGGCGTAAGAGTTACTTTTTCCCCTTTCTACAGAAAATAAAGTGCCATTGGTAGACCATGCAAGCACACAGTTCAAAGTGTTCATCAAAATTCAGACCCTGTGAGTTCAGTTTGCAGAGTCGAAGCCAACCTGCTGAGCTGTGCTGGAGGAAATCTATAGAAACAAATTAACTCCACGTCTGTTGGTCTGGGCATGTGCACAAGATAACAGGCTTCAATTACAAAGCTCTTTCTCCTAATTGAAAATGCAGCTAATAGCTTAAGTGCTTGCTATCTGGGAAAGCTAAAATAATGTGCAAGAGGTGCAAAAGATTCCAACATTTGCCATATAACCAGTGAAAGTGGGGTTTATCCCTGAAGCAGCCGTTTCGGATGAAGCATCTGTTCCACTTTCATCTTTCCTGACACTCATCACTGCATGTCAGCCATTGCAAAATGAAAAGCTCTCTTACACATCACTAGAGACTGCTACATTGCTTCTTATACTCCAACTTACGCCGGAGAAAAGGCGATTAGAAGCGTGCCTGGTGGGGGTCACAGTGAGGTCACCATTCTCGCTCGGACACTTAATCCCACTGAAATTAACCCAACATATGTTTAAAGTAAATGAAGAGTTATTTTCAGAAATTGCATTGTTGCTCTATACTTTTCTTTGCAGTACACCGGCTGGGCCAAAGCGGAAGAACGATGGAAGGTTTAGATTGTATAGTAACAGGTTTTAAAAAATATTTGATAAAATGCAACAAATAAAATGACAACAAAAACAACCCTCCTACATCTTTGAAAAAGAAAATGAAGCTGCTTCTTGGAGCTGTAGAGGTCAAGGAATAACAAAGGAGAGGGACGTCTCGGCTCCTTCCCCCTGATGGGCTATTAGTTATTCTGGCTAGCAGAAGCCCCATTAGGTCTGCCATTTAATGCTCCCATGACACATTTTCACATGGAAGTTACCAAGATTGATAAACCAGCCACCTCACCTCAAACTTCCCTTGTGTTGAGAAATGTTCCGCCACAGATTATCTGACAAAAAGACGATTTAGCTGCCCACGCACCTCGTAGTACTTGACATTACTGTAAACAATGATGCACATTTGTGCTAGCTTCTCCGGTGACAACAATAAAAGACACAATGCGAATGTAAGGGGTCCCAGAGCACAAAACACTGACTTGAAATATATTCTAACATGATCTGTAGGCTCCATGAGGAATAAGGCAAATGAGCTGTGTGGCTGTGAGAGATAAAACTTTGTCTCTTAGCTGCACTGACAGATACAATGGAAAAGAAAGATGTCTTCTGCACTCCACGGCACGTCTGGGTAGTAATACAAAAGATTCCAGCGACACTACATCTTTCCCAGCACATGTCCTGTTAATCACACTTAACTACAGTGCCAAATGACATGAACAAAACTAATGACAGATGCAGAGCATTTGGGGGTACAAAGGCAAAAAAAGTGCTTAATTAAGCATGAGCAAATCGATTAAGCCGTGCGCTGAGCCTTTCTGTCATTACGCTGATTTCAGGAGGAGGATTCCAATTTGAAACTTTCCGGACAAAACTTTCACATGTGAGCTGGAACAGTTTCTTTAGGTTTGTAACATTATACAAAAGTCCCATAAAGCAGTTTCTTGCTGCATTAGCAAACATCAGAGCCAGGCAGAAATTGAGCCCAAATGCATAATTTATCTTTTATTTGGCTACAGGCCCCTACAGTGTTCTCCAGCCTGCGGTGACTGTTTGAACTTTTTAAATTAAACTAATGAGGAAAATGCTAAGTACACAATTGCTACAGGCAGAGAAAAATAATTAAATTTATGATCATCAGCTGGTTGGGTTGTAAAGACATATTTCATTCAGCAGAAAACAAACATCAACACGCACATAACTTGTGTATTTGTTACCATGGTTGTTGTATCAAACACACAGGAAAGGAGAGGACCACCTGCACAGTGACTTGATCTGATATATTGTTTTCATTCAACTCAGGACAGCCAGCCATTTGTGAATAAATAACAGGGTGGCTGATAATACACAGATTAATCAAGGGGCCCTTTCATGTACGTAATGAAAGATGAGCTTACTTTGTGTATAATGCATTTTTATTGTATGCAAGGTACCCAGAAAGAGGAGCTGCCACTGCAGTTTCAGCTAATGGGAATCATATTTTAGCAATATCACTGCATGATTAAAAGCAGCGGCCGGGTGGTCACATGGAACTGAACAAACCAGCGCATTACAAAACAAGTCACCGTGCACTGACCTTTGTTTCCTTATCCCAATGCAGACAAGAGTAGAGGAGAAAAAGTATTTTTCCCCGCAGTGTGTTAGAAAATTTACCTCTCACGCCTCGCAGTGGAAATGGATTTTTGGAGGGCAACAGTCATACCTCGCATTCCCTGGAGCCTGAGATGGTGTATGTGTAAGGTCCTGTCCCATTAACCAGCACATCCATTGTCTCTGAGTGTGAAGGTTTGTAGTCCACATAGTACTCTTGCAGTGGGGAATTGAAGGAGCGCTCGGTCTCCCGCGCCTTTTTCTGGCGCTTTTTCACCGCTGAGCGCTCCTGGAGCTGTTTGAGACTGCTGGGATAGCGCTTCCAGGAGACGTAGATAACCAGCAGGATGATAGCCACGGACAGGAACAAGGCCACGCTACCTGCTATGATCTTGTGGAAGGACACATACTCGGTGTCTGGCAAAAGGATGGTGGGGGAGGCCTCGGTAGGAGTCGGGGAGGTTGTCCAGTTCCAGGTCGGCTTATTACTCACCACAGATTGTGTGGGAAGAGGGAGCAACTCAGGCTGGAACGCAGATGTGAGGGGTAATGTGGTCGTGGGGATGGGGGTGGGCGTCGCTGTGCAGATGTTGTAGGTCTCCACCACATCTGTTACTTTTTCTCCTTGCGCCTCCTTAGGGGTGGCACAAATCATAGCCGTCTCCTTGTTACCCTTGAAAGCCTTGAGCCAGGAGACTAGAGGGCATATATTGGGGTTACAGTGCCACAAATTACCAGCCAGACTGATGGTGGTGAGGGAGATCCAAGTCTCCACCGTCTGCTGAGAGACGTTGCTGAGTTTGTTGGAGTCCAGGTTCAAAGTCTGGAGATTGGGCAGGCACTGAAAAGTGCTCGGATCCAACACTTCTAGCTCATTTCCAGAGAGGTCCAACTTTTGCAGGGACGTCCACATCCACGGCAGTCCCTGGGTTAACAGTTTAATACGGTTCCACTGCAGATAGAGCGCCCTCAGGTTAGTAAGGCGTGGGAAATGAGCAAAATTTATCTTGGAAAACTGATTGTGCTCCAAATGAAGCTCTATGAGCTTTAGGAGTCCCGCAAAGGCATTTCGTGTGAGGCTCCTCAGCCGGTTGTAGCCGATATCAAGAAATTCCAGGTTACGACAATCGAGGAATACGCGCATGGGAATAGTTTTTAAGGAGTTTGACCTCAGGTGTAAACTAAGCAGCTTCCGCAGACTCAGGAACTGATTGGGCTGAAGAAACTGCAGCTTATTGTAAGACAGGTCGAGATTGCGCAAGTTGGGAACGTCGTGGAATGTGTCGTTTTTTAGCTGCGTGATCTTATTCGAGCTGAGGATCAGTTCTTTGAGCCTCCTTATCCCGTGGAAGGCCTGGCCGTCCACAGCACTGATGTAATTGTGGTCCAGGTAGAGCCACACCAGTTGACTCAGGCCTGCGAACTGGTGAGCCCGGAGGCTGGCGAGGCTGTTGTAACGAAGAGACAGCCCCTGCGTGGTTACAGACACGTTGTTTGGCACGTCACGAAAGGCATTGGATTCACAGTATATTATTTTCCCATCACATCTACAGCTCGGGGGACAGGGACGCTCCCGGATAGCACTTGGAGCAGCGAGAAGCCAGGTGGGTATTGCCACCATGAATATAAGCCATCTGAAAAGCACATAAAATCCTGGGGACACAGAAAAGTGATAGACGGTGAGAGCGGGCACGGATCAGATACACGGAATCAAACACTTATATTAAGATCTCAGGAATAAAAAGAGAAGGACGGTTTGAATTTGCATCCAAGTTTTTCAGGCTAATCTGTACACACACATTGAGCAGTAAGATCAGATCTTTAGATATCTGTGAAGGGGAGATAATCCCATGTATCAAGCGTAATTTGTCAACTGGTAGTTGAAAGAATAGGCTCCCTCAGATTCCCCTGCCTGCAGTCGTCATTCATAAAACGCCCGGCGGGGGTATAGAGACGCTGGGCTTTGATTAAACTGTACTTTGACAAACGGTAAAACATCTGCACAGAATAAGCGTTTGAGATAATTGTTTTTCAAAATAACATACCCATGTTGGCGCGGTGTCTGCTCTTCCTCATGTTCACGGCTCTCTGTGGCATCCGTGCCAGTGCCACATGTTTAGACGCGCTCGGCGTTTTGCCCAAATAGTTGCACACTCAACAGGGACGCGCGCTCCGCGGATCCGCGGAGCTCACGCAGTCGCGCACCTGTCGGAGATGGCAGCGCCTCCGCAAGGTGTGCATCAACCTCTGTCGACAGTTCCGCACGTTCCCGCAAAAAAAAAAAACACATCAGCTTGATCGAGCATATATAGCCTATATACGTTGCGGCCGTTTTTTTTTAGGACGCACGGGACCGGGAGCTCTCCAGACTCCAGCCCGACGATAGTGACACTCTGGAGCGCGTGCCGTGGGAGGCTGGGAGATCCATCCCTAAACCTCCAGTCGCCAATTGTTGATTCTAAGTGTCAAGAGATGACACCGGGAGTTAAAGCAGCCGGAGAGGAGGAGAAGTGCGGTCCAAAGTTGTTGCTGGTCTCCCGCTGCGGGTTGGGAGAGAAAAAGGTTGCGGGCTGCTGAGGATCAGCCGTGACATCAAGAATAAATCAGCTGGATAGCAACAGCTATGATCCCGGTATGTAATAAGAGGGCTCAGCTCACAGATGCTCAGTTTGAGGACTTGAGAGGCCCTCTTCTGGTCAAAATAGCACCCGGCAATCCGCATTTTTTTCCTTCTCCAGTCCTCGTCGTTCCCACCGGCTCAGCTTGCATATCAATTAAAGCCTTGCAGAGGGGACAGTTAGCTCTGCGTTTGGAGAATTCTGAAGCTGACAGCCGAACGCCTCCGAACAGTCAGTGGTTTCACATCTCATAGGACGGTGTCAGTTTTGACATGAAAATCAGGAAAATGAAAAGTCAAACAAATCAAAGGAGGTGGGAATGATTAAGTAGAAACATGTCTACAACGTTTGATCCCTTTATTTTTAATATAGAGCCCTCATGACTGAGCAAGTGTCAAACATGGAGTCCATATAAAGTATTCTAATTTAGATTATTACCTGTTGTTTCATCATTTGTGCTGGAATATTAAAATTAGTAGAAAGTGGCCATGTTTAAGATTGCTTTTTCAAGAGTATTGATTTATTTATCTCTTTTTGGGCTACTGAAAGTGATATATACCTTAAAGGTAGGCTGAGTCTTATGAGGTAGATTTAAGTCTTTATCTTGTCAGTTAGTTCCAAAATCTCAAAATTCACATGGGTCTCATTCAGTTCCTCAGAGAGTGAGGTTTTGATTGACAGATAAGATTGCTACGACTTCCTTTATGATTCATAAATGACACGGGCTTCAACAGACATAGAAAATAAATGGGTTTCAGCAGTTGTAACATATTTCTAACTTTTCACTATGAATTGATTAACAATGTTTTTCTTAACTTAATTAAATTACATTGTGATTTTGTTTTGAATTTAACCATTAAATTATCTGTAAATTGGGTGTGCAGTTTATTTGGCATTTAGTTGTTGCGTATTGGCACTGAAATGTAACACGGGTAAACACTGGGTGCCATAAAGGCTTGATAATGGGATTCTAAGACAGGGTCAAAGTCATCATTTCTAATGGTTCCCTGTGATCCTGTACTTAATGAATAGTGTAATTACCAGTAATGGACATTAATGAACATTTTAAGTCAAATCACAGAGAGCTTGTGACAAAGAAAATCGCTGGAAACAAGAATGAAATGGATGCATTCATCACTTCATCAGCAATCACTGGTTTAATTCCCGTTGTCAGATCAATCAGCTAACAGGGGTTGAAGGGCAGGGCAGGGAAGTGCACACACACACAGACACACACACCCCTCTTACACCCCGTCAGGGATGCTCACTCCCACATCGACATCCTCCAGTGCAGTGTACCTCACACTCATCTGCACCATCAGCGATGCTCACAAACCCTCTCTGGTGAATGTTTTGTTAAACTGAGATGTGGAACTAAAGAGCAAAAGAAGCTGGTACAGACATTCATCAATCCTGAGAGAATACATTTTCAATTTTCAATTGAGTTGGCATTTGTCATCTGTGGTCAAATTTGTGAAAGAAGCAGACATATTATAATTTACTTTATACGTTTAGTATTAGTTTCCTGAAGTTCCATGTTTTATAAAATCAAATTAAGCCTGGTTTGTGTTTTACTTAGACTCCATCATCCATTAGTCGCTTAAAATGCAAAGCCAATTAAAAAGACTGAACTTATTGCTATCTATATGCAATGGACCTTTAATTAATCAAAAATGCATCTGTGCATGATCTCTTCTTATTAACAGAACAGTTTTTTTTAACAAACATTCAAACAAGCATGACCCTGCTTAAAACAAAATGCTTCTCATCAGCCACGATTTGGGTTGTGCTGGTCATACAACAACAGAAAATCATTAGTCGTTTGGTAAATTATATCGGGACAATGAGTAATAGGACTTTCTCACGAGGATTAAAAAAAAGTTAACTCGGGTTATTTTGTCACGCTTTGAAATCAGAGCAAGTCGCTGCGGTGCAATCATTTCATGATAAGTTCCCTTTGAATTCCCTGTGGTTTGTGCATCAATTCTTATTAATGTTGTGGAGCAAATGTGGTGTGACCCACTTTTCCCTATTTCATTTGGCTCTCCGGCATGCACTGCGGAAGCAATACAGGAACGCATCAATCGATAACGGAGCCTGACAACATGGTCGTGGTTCACTTTTTATATTGGTTTTGTGGAAAGTTTTTCAGGTCTCACAAACTAAAACTTTATTCACAATGGAACACTGAGAACAGAAGAGGCTAAAGTGAGGGAGGGCATAGTCTCATCAGAATTTCTGAGCTTCTAACTTGAATCTGATGGCAGCATCGTGTCTCAGAAAGTCAGCCTATACATGTCTGATATCTGTCCTATTCTGTTTTTATGATGCAGTAAATGTTTCGATTTGTTATTTTGTGAACAGTCTCACATGCAGCCAAGTGGACGCATTGCAGATGATTTCCAAAAAGAATGTTCTCTCTCAGTCCATCTGAAACTTTGACATAGAAAAGATTCCTGCACATTTCAGGATCATGCTCACATGTGGCTTCTTTTTGCATCATAAAGTATAAACCTGCCGTGGTAGGTGGCACAGGGAACTGTGTTCACAGAAAGCCATTTCCAAAAAGTGTTCCTGGGCCCCTGCTGCGATTTCCATGACAGAATCATGTCTACCTTTAATGCAGCTCTGCCTGAGGGCTTGGAAATAGCAGGCCTCCAAAACTGATTTTCAGCCAAGTCTCTTTTGCACAGATGTGTCTCCAGATCCTCCGAAAGCTTTGATGATATTATTTGCTGTCGCTGAATATTCAAAGTATTCACAGTTTTATGTGTGGGGAAATCATCCTGAAATTCCGTCACTATTTATATATGAAGTTATTTGCAGATTGCTAAACATCTGCCCAGCCTCCTTAAGGTGCTCCTTTTATACCAAACCTGACAAGATTAGTGGAAGAAGCAGGGCCAGGTGCAGACAGTGGTGAACAGAAAATGTTTAGCTGCCAGACGCTCTTTGAAAGTTTATCAAAGCAAACTTAGAAATGACTCAGGATCTTGAACGCTTCAACATTAAATGATCCAACAAAGGATTAACTGAAAACCAGCAGTTTATTCACTGAGGGAGAGACGGGGGAGGTTGTAGCTGTTTCGTCAAAGTTTTACTTTTCTGGCCTTTTCCTGCCCTCATTCCATCCTTTTTTTTAGAAGGGTTGCAGTAATAAAATTCAAGATGAGCTAATATTCCTCATGAAATAGTAAAATGCCTGGCTTTCAATATTTGACATATTTTCTATGATTTAATGGGAATAAATAAAATATTGATTAACAAGGTTCACAAACAACTGCGTTCCACGTTTTGCATATCCCTTCATTCTGTGTCCCTACTTCTTTGGAGTCGACTCTGTATTTACTTGCCTTTTTAGCTTTTTTCACCTGGTGTCTCCATAAATCTGTGCCGTTTGATAAAGTCCCACTAATGTGTAATTGAGAATAAGTTAACCCCGGGAGAGTTCGGCCCGTAAAACACAAAGGTACAGTCTCACCATATGCACTCGCCTCACTTTGCAAATAACTCAGAAACCAAATTGCTTACTATGAAACTTTAATGACTGTCTGTGACTGACTGCGCCTTGAATAATACAGCACGGGAGGGACCTGCTTTTATTGCAGCTTAATGAATCCCACTGAAACACAGTTTAGAAATGTGTATACGTAGGAAAATAATTAGTGCAAAGATAAATGTAAACCAGGGTCGACACAAGTCTAATTTATGCTGAATCTTACTTGTAAAAATGTAAATACAATAAGCCGCAGAACATATAAATGATCCCCCACTGCAGGTAAAATATTCCTGAGAGGTCTCATCCCGAAACATCTGGCGCTAAATTACCTGTGAGTCAAACACTGCACCTCTTTCAGACTTTTGAAACACCAGAGAGCTGTGCATTGACTGTAATCTGATTAAAGGTGATTTATTAAAATGTTTTCATATCTCACCACAATCCAGGGCCTGCTTCTGCGTGGTTCCAAGTTCTGTCTCTTCAAGACAGTCCTCAGGAAAAAAAAAATGTTTAGGTTTCTCTGAGGATATAAAAGAAGCACAGCTTGCATACTAAAACCTCAGCAGCGGGGGACCTCCATCACAATTTAACAAGTTATGAAAACAACATTAAACCACCACTGAATTGCCTTTGTCTAAAAGGTCACGCATGTAGTTTTGAGGCTTGTCTCAGGAGTGATCCTGCAGAGGGGGAAGACACCCTGGGTTCATATTGCAGTCTACCTTTCATGTCTCGCTCATGCATAAGAATTTATGTGTCTTCTGCAGAGGGCTGCGAGGATCGGTGGGTAATGCACTACCCAGCGCTTGATAATGGGCTCTGTGTTTAAATCCCGTGTCAAACAGCCACGATGTTTGATCATTTCTTCCCGGCGAATTCTCGTCTGCATCGCAAATAGAAAAACGCGTTCTTTTTCGTATTTTTTCAAGTTTCATTTGCTCACTTCCACATACATAATGTATGAGAACGGGAAAGCGCTGAACACACGAGACGAGTTGGGTGAAGTTCTCTCTGTCGAAAGGTGCAGCAGCAGAACGGCTGTGCCAGGGATTCTGCTGCCATGAGCGCTCAGCAAAGACCAGCTTGAAGTAATGACGTAACTATGTAAAAGTACAACCTGGTTATCCCATTTCTGACCTTACATGGGGAGAGTGGGGAAGCCAATGGAGTCAGTGCAGTGAGGTTGTCACCTGCTCATCTTCTTCACATCGCTGGTTCACTAATGCAGCTTCCAAGAAATATTAATCCTGCGACATTCAATTAGGCAGGAGGCAATAATAACGTCCAAATAAATGAATAAACCAAAAAGGGTTCATCAAAGTTTGTCGCACATTGAATGCACCATCAGCTCATTAGAAAAAAAGAAAAAATCAGCCATTCTCCTTATGAATTTAACCTAAATTGCAATTTTTTTAACATGAAAAACTCTACATCATCACAGTTCAGTGAAAGAAAAGCCAGAATGTATTAAAATAATATAGATTATCATCATGCTCCTCATGTCCTTTCAGTGTTATGAGATCAAACCAACCAAAGCTGTATAGAGTTTACAGTATGCTGTAGCGGCCTCCTTTTTAACGTTTGAATTCTGTTATATGCTGCATAAATTCCCTCTCAGGTGCTGACAGTAATGAAAATGTTGTAAAGTACTGCATGCCTTGTTTGTACTTCAGGTGTGAATGAAATTTTAATAAAGAACCTGGATTTGACCGATGGAGAGCTGTGTGTTTGCATGAGCAAGTGGATGAGAGTGAGTATGAGGGGATTATTTAGATTAAGAACACTGTTTCCCCCTCTTTGGAAAATGTCAAATGACAGACGGTGAAGTACAACATCAATCTCTCATCATCAACTTCATTATTATGGTTTTTCAACAAGGACAATCTACAGTCATACGAGTACAAATTCATCATCAGGGACCACATGGTGCACTAATTCACTCTGAAATGGTCACATGATGTCAGATTAAAAACACTGGATTTGAACAATGCTGTTTACAGTATCTCACTTCTTTGTGGGGATTATCATCCATTTGAATTATTTTACAAATTAATCATGAATTGCCACTGTAGAAATAGGCTGTAGGCATTGCAGATACTTATAAAGAATTATATTTTGTTGAGCAGTTAAAACAGTGATTTTCATACACTACTTGGTCTTATTTCATATATAATCTGTGCCTCAGAAGCTAATTTTAAAATATGAATATAGAGATAAGTACAAAATGAAAGGTACGTGTAAGATGAAAAATATGGTTCATCATGTGCCACATATAGATAATTTATGTGTTTACAAATTTCAGGCACTACGCTGGCATAACGTTCACATTTGTATAGGTTTATACAACAACTTTGTCTGCATTAGCATCATTTTGAAGAGATGGATAAACACTTTAATAACCATCAATTCATCCATTTTCTGCTATCATAAGAAACACCGCATTGTCAATTCAATAGAGGATGCTGGTTTGCAAATATAGTCAATTATTATTTTTCATCTTCAGCAGGAAACCCAGCTGATAACCTATTTGTGGAGCTGACACACGATCATTGGCAATCCGTGCTGTGCAACCTGTCCGACCTCAAACCGGGTTAATTTTCTGCATAAAAAACTCCACGCGGCCTGTCTGCACAACATCATCGTCAAACGACGTGTTCTCCTGCTCCTGGGGTTCATATTATTTGAATGACATGTGAGCTCTTCAGACACGTGTGAAGCAGCTTACCCTTTGAAGATTTTGTTTGACATTCAATTACAGGGTGTGCGAGTGTAAGTCTGCAGAGCATTATCTGTACAAAATGTCTCGTTTTCTCATCTCTCAGATCCCCTCCTGCTGAGGGGCTCCTGGAGCAGATGTAAATGTACCTTTTCATCATCAGATCCACAGCCGTCAGAGCCCTTCTTTGATCAAGTAACGTCCCACTAAGACAAATGTTGATCCTAATTCTTCAACTCATTATTTCCTTAAACTACCGCTGACCTGGGTGCCTTCTCCCTTGACTTTGTCGAGGTCATGCATTTTCTCATCACCGCCGTCCACATTCCCCTCTGCTGGCACAAGGGGATGCTGTTACCACGTCTAGCAGCCCAGACTGTCTACAGTCAAAATAAATATATATTTTAAAAAAGACCACAAAAAAAACAACTTTCACAATCTGGTGTCTGTTCAAAGCAGAATGAGCCAAGTGTGAACAATGAATATGAAGAGAGCACATAATGAGAAGCTTCCCTTTTCCATCTTTTGCTATCTTTCGACTCCATTTTTTTGTATTGGTCGACTTGAATATCTTTTATCCTGATGCTGACACCTCTTTGGCCTAATTCATGTCATAGCATTGTGTTTTATGGACACTAAGAGGTGCCGTTTGTTTGTCCAACAAAACGTTTTGACCTCACACTTCATCTGTCAGAATAGTTTTGCCATCAAGGAGCTGCAGAGGAGTCCAAATTATCCAACACTCTTTATTCCTGTCATGTTACAATAACAAATAAAGGAATGCTTGATTTGGAACTTACCATAAAACATATTTCAGCCGGTTCACGAGTTTGAATGTGATACATATAATTGATTTAAAAATTAATAATTACAATGTTCGGTCAATATTCTCTGAAAATCAACATTTAAAGTAAGTCTCACTACAATAATTCCAAGCACACATGCATCAGAGGACACACACGTATGAAAACACGTCGCATTAATTTGCCAATTCAGTTAATGACAGGGTTTACGTGTCTGCCATACTTATTTTTTCGAAGCTTATCTTCTTGAGGACGCCCACGCCTCTGAGTAAGAAGAGAGAGGTAAAGAGAGAAAGGAGAGGCGTGTAGAGAGAGGAGAAGGGGGAGACTGCTTGGAGTGGAGGGATGCGCATCAGTCTGTCGGCGCTCAAATGGGTAATTGCGCACACAGCGGACTGAGCTGGAGCGGCCACTCCAACTAAGACCAAAGTGGGAGAGCGGCCGGATTTTGAGCCTCATCCGGAGACCTGTGCGGACATCTGGGGCGCTGCGGAAAACTTGGATTTGCTTTGCAACTGTTATGTTCAGGATGCGGACTGACTCTGAAGCTGCATTAAATGCGACTGAACGCAGTTTAACGCGTTCTTAATCAACCCCTCTTCCCCCCCCCCCCCCCCCTCCCCCTCCCCTCTGGATTATCACTCCTTCCATCTGTGGCGATGGGTAAGTCCTTATGGTACACATATCCCTATTAAGTGACATAATTGTTGCCTGTTTTGGATCATCGTATAGCGCAGAAGAAAAGCTATGATGGACTTTCACTGGCAGAGTTCCTAATTGCTGAAGTGAATGATCTTTAATTTGGCCTGCAACACCTCACAACAGGAAACGCTGATTTTTCTTTTTTGCATTAAATATACATCGTTCGAAACAGCCTTTGCCACCAACGTTTTCTGGGAATGCATTCACATATGCATACCTTAAAGTAGCTAGCTCAGACCGTTATCAATTCTTCATGAAGCAGGTCTGCCATCTCAGACATCAGACTTCAAGCTGCCACAGACTCCATCATTCACCCCCCCCGTTGTGGAATAAATGTGTTAACTTTACTTTTTCAAATGTCTTTGACTTAACGTTTTCCCGGAAACCCGGCCATCTGTTTGACTGTGCCCCCGCTCTAACCCCAACAGGTTCTGTGATGATGGACTGGAGGTTGTCATGTCTTCTTCTGCAGGCGGCAGCCTTGCTGCTGCTCAGCAAAGGGGAGAAGATGTGCCCCGTGAGCTGTCGCTGCGAAGGCAAAATTGTTTATTGCGAGTCGGGCATTTTCCAAGACGTTCCGGTGAACATCACCACGGGATGCCAAGGGCTGTCTCTGCGTTACAACAACCTGCTGGTTCTTCTGCCGTACCAGTTTGCCCATCTCAATCAGCTTATCTGGCTTTACTTGGACCACAACTCCATCAATGCCGTAGATGCATTGGCCTTCCACGGGGTTCGTAGACTCAAGGAGTTGATTCTCAGCTCCAACAAGATCACGCATCTGCACAACAACACGTTCACCGCCATTCCAAACCTGAGAAACCTGGACCTGTCCTACAATAAGCTGCAGTCTCTGCAGCCGGGTCATTTCAACGGCCTACGCAAGCTTCAGAACCTCCACCTTCGCTCCAACGGACTAAGACAGATCTCCATCCGTACGTTTTTGGAATGCCGCAGCCTGGAGTTCCTGGACCTGGGTTACAATCGCTTGCGCAGTCTCACTCGCACAACGTTTTTAGGGCTGTTCAAACTGAAGGAGCTTCACCTGGAGCACAACCAGTTTTCCAGGATTAATTTTTTTATTTTCCCGCGCCTTACAAACCTCCAGGCTCTGTATTTGCAGTGGAACCGCATCCGCTCCATCAGTCAAGGCGTGCCGTGGACCTGGCAGAAACTCCAGAAACTCGACCTGTCGGGGAATGAAATTCAGAAGTTGGACCCCGCCGTTTTCCAGTGCATGCCAAACTTAGAAGCGCTCAACCTGGAATCGAACAAGCTCAGCAGTGTGCCCGTGGAGGCGGTGGCGGCCTGGACCTCGCTGACCGCCATCAGCCTCGCCGGCAATGCCTGGGACTGCAGCCCCAGCATCTGCCCCCTCATGGGATGGCTCCGGACCCTCAGGGACCCCAAAGACATCAGCATGATTTGCAGCGGCCCCAAGTCCGTGCAGGGGGAGAGAGTGGTGGATGCGGTGAGGAATTATTCAATATGCGGGGATGTATCCAGTGCGTTCTCCACCACAACTTTCATCGTACTGAGCTCAAGCCAAAGTGAAAACGTCACAACTTGGCCTGCTCCCTCTGGTGGCACAGAGCTGACTCATACTGTGTCACCTTCACAGAAACGAACCACGTCACCTGCCAGTCCAAGTGGCACGTACAGGAAGGTAGCGGAGTCCTCAACCGTGAGCTCCACAGGAACCCCCACATCAGTTATCCCTGAGCTACAGTTTGAACATATGGCTTTCCATAAAATCATTGCAGGCAGTGTAGCCCTGTTCCTGTCTCTGTCATTGATCCTGCTGGTTATTTATGTCTCTTGGAGGCGCTATCCCAACACCATGAGGCAGCTGCAGCAGCACTCAGTCAAGCACAAGCGCAGGAAAAAGGCTCACAAGCAGGAGCCGGATCTAAACTCTCAGCTGCAGGAGTACTATCTGAGCTACCATTCAAACTCAGAGGCCATGGACTCCTTGGTGAACGAGACAAGGCCGTGCACGTGCACTATATCAGGATCTATAGAATGTGAAGTGTGAGCTTTCCACCTTTAAGAGACAAGAGGTGCTATCGCGAAGCAGAGATAAATGTTTTTTTTTCCTGGAGATAAAATATTGTTTTTTTTAAAATATATCTCCGATGTAACGTAGTAGAATTCTGCATATACTGAAGACAAAAGATCGGGGTGACAGTACATTATAATTATGTGCACAGTAGAGATGATTAGAAAGGAGAGAGCTCATTAGCACCCTGACAGTTGTGAGAAGAGTTGCCAGGTTTGCTGTGTATGATCCAAAATTACAGCTGGACCTCTGCGTCAGTAGAGGCGGGCCCTGTAGACAGACTGTGCAGAGAGCAATCCCGCCATGAGCCAACAAAGCCACTTTTTACCAGCTTGTTTGATAACATCATGTAGCCTGTAAAGCATTAGGATGTGCGAGTGCATCTTTGAGATTGTGTTGTGTGTGTGTGTGTGTGAGAGAGTGAGAGTGAGAGAGAATGAGAGAATGTCACGAGGGATGAGCTGTTAATCCTCTGGTTTACCAACATCTGGCTGGAGGAGTTACAGTGTTACACCTTCCTCTCATTGATGCTATTTGTCCAGTTGAGTTATTTTGCATTTGGCAAACAAGCCTAGCTGTAGCAGAACCCGCAAAAAAGTGGGGAAACAATCACAAAGAGAGCATCATTTGCATGAAGCCTTTCTCCTTATTGAAGATGCTTCTCTCACACATCAAATGATCACTCTTATCAGACAAAAGAAGAAAAAAAAGAGCGTATATTTGCATTTCAATTTATTGTGTAACTAGCCACAAAAATTTAGAATGATAGAGAACCCGTGAGTCCAATCTCAGGATGTATAAGTCTTAAAATGTACAAATCTGTCAGGTCCAAGTAAGGCCTTTTGTTTGTATGTGTGTATGTGTCAAAGGTGACAATGTTGATTTTCATAACAGATTTTGTATTGACCATTCCTGCCATTATAATTCTGCATTGTTTGTGTATATGTATAACAATATGGATATAGGCTTTCTTTTGTGATTATAACTGTACGATTAAAAGAAACTGAGAGTTTCTGAAAAATACAAGAGTGTGTTGGGGCCATCAATGACTGGAGCTGTTACTGGTGAGAAAGAAAGAAGTTGAAATCCTTGCATTGTGCTTTGGGTGTGGTACATTTCGTTGGGTTCGGTGCTGACAAAGGAGCTGACATAGTTTCAGAGGCGTGTGTTTCCAGTATCCTCTCCTGGTACTTAAGTATGACCAACATATCTGGAGTAAACACACACCTCAGACTCAAAATAGTGGTCCCATGCAGCTGGGCCAGCAGAAACGAGTCATTTAAACTACCAGTTTCCGCATAAACAGGTTTGCTTCTTGTGCCAACGGAGCTCAAGTAGGCTTGACGCTTTTCTTTGCTTGTCCGTAAGACAAAAGACACTCCGGTCCCTGAAACCAGAAACAGATTAAGAAGCTCTGGTTTATGTAACCAGCGTTTCTCTCTCACTGGTTGGAAATACTGCTCCGGTGCAGTGAAATGAATGAGCGAGTGGAAGCAGGCTGCTGAGGTCAAGCTATAATGAAGTTATCACTCACCCTATTCTGCTTTTTTTCCCCCATCAACTCCTTCCCATTTCCCCCTGCCTCATTCTGCTTCTCCTTCTCTTGCTTTTTTTATTTTATTATTCTCAGCATGTTCAGTGTGAGGAGGAAAAAATGAACCTGCTGATCGAGTGGACATTTGCACATGTTTATCTGTTCACAAACGGGCAGAAACGCTGCTGAGATAACATGCAGGCTTCCCTTTACTGTTGTTAGGTGTTTCATTTTTTAGATTTTCCAAGCCTTTAGCGGGAAATGCGCATTAAACATCTCCTCGTTATCATCCATTAGCATGTTCAGAGATCTCATGTAGCACGGATAAAGTTTGTGAATGGTCAAAGGCTGTTCAGATAAGGATTTATGATCTCCTACAGTCCACATTTAAACATGACTCAGGCTTTCTTTGTGCTCCAGGCAGGCAAAGAGGCATGCTGCCAACAGAATTTATATCCATATATTTAGTCTCCAGCTCTTGCATAAATGATGAATTTCTTTTGGGGGCCAGCGGGAAAACCTGTAGGCCAAACAAAAAATTATAATTTGAGCAGGAAAAATGATTTGTTGGTCCACATTTTGGCAGATATTGTAATTAGTGTTTGATTTGTCATATTGTGACTGATGAAATGCAATTCCCTGTGATTTGAAACCTTTTGGTGTTGTGCAGAATGCTGATTATTGAGCTATGCTCTGCTTTCTGTGGATCATTACTGAGGACATTGTTTGGATGAAAAATTGTGGGTGTGTACTCTATTGATTATAGAGCAACAATGCACAAATATGACAAACTCACCAGGCAAACTGAAAAAAATCTCCCCCAAGACCAGAAAACAATGTTTCATCGATGTAACTAAGAATAGAAAATACTGTAATTACTTGGACATCCGTTTTCAATGTGCGGCTTTACAAGTGCTCATCATAAGAGGTTAGGGTTTGGGAATTGAAAAATTCTGATGCAAACATCCCATTAGGGACATTTTTAGAAGTATATAATGCTGTAGTTATCATCACCAAAGCTTAAAATGGAAATTAAACATTTGCATGATCATACTAAAGAAACAGTGATGATGTTCCGTCAACCTTCACCAGGTTTTCAATTTCCACATCTAAAAAACCATTTAAATTTGATCCCCTTCATTCATTCTGAGTTAAACAAAGAGGATGTGTCAAATTGGTTAAGATCTGGGAGGTGGAATTTGAACAGGGCCAGGTGAGACTCTCAGCAAGAAAGGGGATTTTCCAAATTGTTAAACACAAATTTGAAGAGAGTGACTGCAACTAATCAATAATGCTAATGAGCTCTGCAGCCTCTTGCTGCTTCTTTCCTGGAGCATATTTCATAACTCCATGCTCCTTTGCATTTGTAACAGCTTGCTATCCTGGAAGAAGATTTCTGCTAGGATGACTCAAGTCAAGTTGTATATCAGATAAAATTAGCCTTGTAGAGAGAGCAGCTTTTCTTCCTTTCTGTCGTACTTACTTTCTTTTTTTCTCTTCACGCTTTTGAAAGAAGAATTTGAGGATCCAACATGTATTACCTTTAAGCTTGCAACTCAATATAATGAGTTCCAGGCTGTTGAATTCAGATGATTAACATCAGCTGAAAATAGAGTCAGTGAAGTATGAAAGTATTCAGAGGCAATTGCAATAGTTTGGAAAGAGAAGTTGCACAGCTTCCTGGTCCACACAACAGGATTTCTTTGTTCGAGCACCTTTTGTGCACTGTACGCCACCTGTAAAATTAATTTAAATACTAATGCCTGGCAGCTTTTGTCACATGTCCCAAGAGGCCCCCCAGAGCAGGAAAAAATTCTCCTTGATTTTTTGTTCATTGGAAAGTGGAGGTGGTCAAAAGGTTCATGGAGTGTGCAGCAGAAAGAAGCTTTTCTTTTCTGTAAGGAACATAATTGTTCCAACAGGAGGACCTTTGAATTTTGAAATAACTTCCAAGGAAATTATTTTGCAGCAAAATATATTCTCTCACTTTCATCTTTCTACTTCATTACCTTCTGCAAACCTGGGTATATATATTTATAATGTTGTAACTTGATTAAAAAAAATAAGGAACTGAGTTATTCAGTGCTGAAAAAGGAACTGAGATATTCACCATGTAAACTGAGAGTACATTTCTCTCAGTTTACATGACGATTTAACTTTTTTAAATGCACACTTTCATCATATAAATTCTTGCCTTGTTTTTGTGTATCTATCTGTCTATATCAGTGATTTGAATTCTAAATTGTTCTGATTCTCACATGGGTTTTTCCACAATAAAAACTCTTTCAGTAATAGTAAAATACTGTCAGTAATGTTTTATGACTTGATAGGATGGGGAGGTAAAAAGGTTGTTTCAAACATCCCGTAAAATCCATCACATTTTACAAGTCGCTCTCCTGTCCATAAAGAGTGATCCCTTTGCCACTTTAGTTTACTTAACATCAGGAAATCATCTCAGGCAGAAACTCAGCTGACAGATTGACCTTTATGGGTGCAATCCTGCTCATAGTTAACAAGAATGGCGCCAGTATATGGTGACAGAAGTAGCACTCATACAGGACACATTACATTATCTTTTCTCCAAAAACATGCTGCATGGGCTGACTGTGTGATGTACCGCTTTTATGGTGCATTCTTTTGAGACATCACCTCGGAGTTTCACTGATTTATTTCCCCCGATTCCTCAACAGCTCCAGTAGCCGCACCAGGGAAATCATCAAAAAAGCTAACAACAATTAACCGTATATGATTTATGAGAAGTGCACGCAGAAATACAGCCGTTTCCTGTGTAATAAAAAACAGCACTGTGGTACCTATAAGAGAGACACTGTGGAAGTGTCCAGAGAGCAAAAAAGACATTTATTCAGATCTGTGAAAGAAATGTCCATTAGCTGTTCACATGTACAGGCAGGATACAAAAAGCCAGACAAAAATTAAGAAAGAATTGTCTGATCCATCAAAATATGTTTACAGTGGCTCAGTTCCTGTGTTTTGACAACGGGGAAAAGAACAAGAAGTATGACTTCTTATTCAAAAGCAGCTGTAGTTTGAAACAGCTCATTGAAAATGCAGTAAAACAAAACTGCCTTTGTACCTGTTTCTCCTCTGACCCTGGCATAATGCACATAACAGCAGAACCACGGACGCTGCCATTACAGAAGATGGAATAAAATATTGTCCACATAATGATTTTTCTGTGTAAGGAGCTCTTTTGACAGAGGTTCCTGCAGCTCAATGCTGAGGGCCCCTGTGCTACTGCATAAATGATGGCAGCATTAGTGCAGCAGTGCTGCACATTAGCATGGCACTCGGAAAAATCTTCGACACGAAAAGTATCAAGCCCCTTCTTGAGCCAGCGGTGAAGGGCGTTAAAGGCCGGGGTCAATACCAGGTTACATCAAATTAATTTGCGGTTATATTAATGTTGTTTGACTGCCTTTGATACCGCGATCTTAATGGCTGTTGAAATTTTTCCCAAAAGCAAACTCTGACTCCTCGGCAGCACAGCTCTTTATTTACTTGTTTGTCACAATGCATTTCGGTCATCTGAGTCATCTAACGACATTTAGTGAGCAGTGACAACATGAGCTTTCATTTGGTACCAGTGACACTGGCACACGGATCGGCTGTAAATCTTTCTGTTTAGCTTCTTGTCTGCTCAGATGGGACGTCCATCAGAGGAGCTGGACAGTGGACCGTGTGCCTTGTTGTTTTTTTGGCTCCTCAAAAAAGTCTGAGTCACAGCTTCGTTTTTCACGAGTACATCAACAATACACTGCTGATTGTGGCCAAAAGGGCAGTGACACTCAGTTGTTAACACAACTGAGTCTTGTGTTTGCAAGATCTAAGGCTTTTGGCGTGACAGTCCAATCAAGGACTCTCAATCATTATTCATCACAGCCATTATTGTCAAAGAGCAGCTCCTAGAGAGCTGATTTCAGTTCATTTTGGACGCTTTTTCAGGCCACTTTCCAAATGACTCATGACCTTGTGTAAAATGTTTAAAAAAAAACAGAATTTGGTGGTTTGCAAATCATAAAACTCCACAGGAGAGAACTGCTCGTCTCATTTAAAGACACTTAACTGTCAGTTGTTGTTTTTTGGAGCATCATCTTGTTGAAATGAGCAAACCTTTGCCTGAAAGTGCGTCTGAAAGGACTGGGCTGCAGACAAAATGGCAGACTATTGTCAGTGTAAAAAGAGGCAGAGGGTCCGGTCAATAAAAACGTCCATTTCACTCAGGCAGGACCCTGAGTTCAATCAATGTGAGCCTTTAAAACAGCCTGTTAAATTATCCGAATACTAAGGAAAGTAACATCATAATTTGTAGTTAATGATGATTTTATGTGTCCAAAACACGTGACTATTTTCCCAAAGAGATAAGAACTAAGATCTTCTAAACACAAAAGTGGATGTCAGTGTTTGAATGCAGCAACACATTTAACTTCAACAAAATAACTTTGTTAACATAACATATTTCTGTTATATCTTGTATTTGTGTATGATTTGTGTATGATTGTAGCTTTATTTTGGCAAATGCAGGCCCAGATTATCGCCTGGTCCTCTTGCAGTTCTTTTTCATTTACCTTTTCCTTCACTTTCCCTTAACCTGATAAGGTTTTTAAGCAAAGCGGGGGATTGTGTGTGAGTAGTGACAAGGTCAGGCTTTTACTCTAGCTTCAACAGAAACTCACAGTGAGCCCGACAGACTCATTATCACCTGAATAAAATCTGTTTTTTTCTTTGGACGAAATTATTCATCTTGGAATTTTCCGAGTGG